GATCAAATTTGAGAAGGGGGCAATGTCAAGGTGTATGTGGCGCTAAACTCTATTACTGGTTGCCTACATTGCTGCAACGTGTCAAGAAACATGGCGAATGTACCAAAAAGTAAAAGATAAAGTCCCTAGATATATAAAGTACCGCAATTACCGCCATATTGGCGCCAAAACTAGCGGGAAATTTAAAAAGGAGGCACACATTTGGCTATTTCGGTTCGGCGCCAATATGGCCGACCAACCCTTGACAGGTTAACCGTAAAATAAAATATTAATTATTTATGATATAATTACCTTTATTATCTATAATTAAACATATCTACCTTCATTCTAACGTAATATCAGGTAATATATTGGTATTCGATTTTATAAATTTAATTTTTTTAGGTCTATATAAGTTAAGTGTTTATAAACGATCTAGTTGAAGCCTGGCGCATCCGCCACGACGCGACATGAGGAAAAAAATACTTTTTATTTTTTTTTAATTAAATGAAAAACAAAAAATCCGGCGGCGACAGTTTTTAGAAGAGCCAATTAGCTATCTTTTAGTAAAAAAAGCAACTTTCTAGAGCAAGTCGTTACTTCAGTAGAGACGACACAGATAAACAGCATTTTATATATTATGTAGATGGTTTCCATATAAGCATTTTTCATTTGTATTAGCATTTATTATATTATGTTAGCTTTTAGCGCAAAGTACGCCAACAGAAGTAAGTTAATAGGTAAGAAGAAATAAAGTTGGAATAACATTTTAGTACTTAATTTAGTCGAAACAATAGGAAAAACTTTGTTTATCAATGAGAAGGAGATACATATGCCATAAGTAAACCTTGCCTATACCAGTTATGCCGTACTTAGTTTTGTCAAATAAGCATGATTTAACGAGTCTTTGGAACTATGAATTTATAGGAATAAACTACAAACTTATATTTGAAGAATACGAGAAAATTTTGAACCAAGGTTGAAACAAATAAATGTAATATTTAAATTGATACATACCAGCTATTTTTGAAATATAAGTATTAATATATTGATAGAAAGATTGTTTCAATTAGTATTACTTCAGGTAGTTTCGACATTTTAGGTACATAATTGTGCACTTAAGTTAAAAATAACTTGGAAAGAAGCATGAAATGCTTCGGAGCTCTATATGTATACTGTATGATTAAGGTTTGAATGTTATGGAGTGATTTTTATACAAAAAATTGATTATTAATTGAATAAAAGCAAGGTAATACCACATAACACAATTAAAATATATTTTGCTCTGCAATTTAATGTTACATTTTTAAAACAACAAACTTCATAATGTTTAAGTATCATTTTTATAAAAAAATTATACTGCTATAAATTTAACATTAAAATAACTAATTGTTATACATATATTAAGTAGGCATAATTTTAACTCAGCAGTATGTAAAACTTTAAATGAATCTTAACAATTTTATAATGTGATGTATAAAAATCAACTTTAAATCACACATTTTTATTTATAACTGATTTTATAAGATCAAATTTTTAAATATAACTTTACATACTTACATTATATTGTTTACTTTTTATTAGTAATTAAATAAAGCAGTAATTACAATATGAAACAAAAAATATTAATTACCATCAATAAATACATAAAAATTAATCTATTTTAGTCCATGAAAATAACTATATGCATAAACAACATTCTTGATACTTAGATCTGTAATTTATTTCAGCTTTTTTTCATTGTTTTGATTAATATATCGGTTAGTCCTGACTAGTAAAACCACCTGAAGCCATATCATCCAAATCTATGTATGTACCTTAGAGGTATGTACCATAACATAACTTAATCTTTTAGATAATTATCCATTCCTTTGGTCTGATGATAATACATATATCGTAGATTTATCTTAATTTCTTACTGCAAAATATTGAAAACTAAACTATACTAAACATTTTAGGGAGTGATTACGTATAGATTTTACTGGCACTTAGCATCCTTTTAAAAAGATATGTATGGTAGTTTGCAAGTAAGGTCTTTGTCTTGTTCTTGTGGATAAATATTTTTATTCTGAATTTGACAGCTTCTGAACATTTGACATGACAAATTCAGACAAATATGACATTTAAACAGTCCCACCACTACAGTTTTTGCAGAAATACCCCAAAAATCCGCCATATTGGCGCCAATAACATTGAACAAACCAATTGCGGTCCTTTATATATCTAGGGACTTTAGTAAAAGACATTTTTAGGCGCCATCTCTTAATCAAGTCAACAAGTAAGCGAATCAGACAGTAGAATTTTCCAGTAGGAAGTAAAACGCTCTCCGAGAATTGTAAAAGGTTCGAGAAACAGTCAATAGAGTATATAAGCCCGCGTAATCGGCAATTGGGACAGTTTGAAGTTTGATAATACCGCGTTTTAAATTTTGAATTAATTGGCGAAGGTGCCAGCACCGTTAGAGTAATAGTAGTTGCATAAATTGTGTTGTAAATAGTACAAGTTGTGCGTACAGAGCGAGAAAAATAAATTCGTTAAGTATTTTATCGTGAGTTTAAATTAGTGGACCCACGGAATCCGTAACAATAATTTAACAAAATTCTAATATTTTCGTTGTAAGTTAAGTTGTAAGGAGAAGCCCCATTTTGCTGAAAGTATATTTCACGTAAATTGGCTAAAGGAATATTTAAAAATTCCGATACGATAGCTTACAAGATTTACAAATACCGGTAGAGAGTTAAGTTTCCCTAATATATAATGAATTTATTAGTGGCTCTCAAAATAAAACAAGAGACAGATAGCAGTGTATATTTTTAATAATTCTTTAGTTTCTTTTATTGTCAATCAAGGCCTAATCAACTAATAAATATAATTTTTTAATATTTTTTTTTAGATATTGGAGTAAATAGTGAAAATAAATATAGAGCGATATATATTTTTGAGAAGCTTATGCAATGTAAAAATTATCATATAATTGATAAATATACGGGGTGTTCCATTTAAAAAAAACATAACTATAGTTCATATTCTCAAAAATTTTCTTTTCGTAGAGAAACAGACTACGCCACTGTATTCTACGTAAAAATTCTACAATAAACAGTTCTCACCTCCTGGATATCAACAATAACAGTGATATATTGATGTCTCAAATTTTGCAATTTGTGACATCGAATCGAACATCGAATTTGGGACATCGAATTGACATCGACATAAACGAAGAGGACTATGAAAATTTTGTTTACGGCATCTTTCGTTTAACAAAAAAGTGGCACAGGTCTGTGCCAACCGCACCCTTCTATCTTCTATCCCTTATATAACTGACATATAGTATGATTTCAACCAAAATGGTACACCCTGTACAAGGATGTATTTCAGGAAAATATTTTAACTTCTATGGCCCAAAGTGTGAGTAGATCGGGATGATTTTTTTAAATGGAACACCCTGTATATTATTGCATTTTTTTCGGAAGAGAACTAATAAATATTTTGCAATAGTGAGCTAACCTTCTTGACTACTATTGAACATAATATTACGAAAATCTCGAAATTTTCAATAGAAAAAAAAACATAGAACTTTGCTGTGCTTACATAGAGAGTCTCAATATTTATATATTCTGCGTTTACAGATCTCCTGGAGAAAGTATAGAGGTGTTTGTGACTCAACTTGCTAGAGCGATAGACAGTGGGGGACATCGCAGAAAAATCATTATTGTAGGCGATTTTTGTAATATGACTTAAACTACTATTGTTTAATCATATATGTTTATTATTTAAATATAAAATAATACATGAGTTTAACAATTAGGATGCGTAGGAATAATCTGGCGTTCAATGTCAACTGTCCACCATTGACCTTCTAGCTATTAGGGAGGGGCACTTTCTAATAATATCAGATAATATTACAATTTTAATGTACTCTTTGGTACAAAACAAAGCGAGTCAGTGTTGGTAAATGACATGCTGGAATCATATGGATTTCGTGCATTGGTGAATGTCGGTACGCGCGGCGGAAACTGTACATGTAACCTATGTATTAACTTCGATGCTCTTTTTACCGATATCAAAATATTCGACAACGGTCTCTCTGATCACAACTTAATAGAGCTTCGGTTTGGTATAGATAAAGATACAAATAACAAGACACTGATGAGGCAATATAGATCCATCACTGAAAAAAGTAAGCAATCTTTTTTACTTTAATTCAAGAATATAACTGGTTTTTTATATCTAAACACAACATCGATGTTAGTACTAAATGCAAATTTTTTTGTGATAAGATTCTAGAAGCTTTTGATACGTCTTTTTCAGAAAAGATATAAAAAAACAAAATCAAACTATGTTTCCTTTGTTTAATGACATACTGCGGGAAATGCGAGAACGTCTATGTTTTCTAAATGATCTTTTTAAACAATACCCATCCCAAGAACTGCTTGACAATAGAAACTGCTTTAAAAACAGTATAGAAGAGCAATTAAAGTCGCGAAAAGGGAATATAATAATAGACTTATTTCTAATTCAACAAATAAGTCAAAAAGTATTTGGAAAATCGTGAATAACAACCGTGCCAAACTAGCAGAACAACATCCTTCAATGACAATTGGTTCCAATGCATTTAATGATTTTTTCTCTAGTGTGGCGGATGTCTTGGTCGGAAATGGACAGTGTTATATACACAGGATATTCCATTTAAGATTACTCATCTGCTGGATGAGGAATTAAAGTTCGGAGAGTGTTTTAATGAGGTCAGGGACGTAATTCTTAATTTAAAAAATAAAGATTCGCGTGACAAATTTGGGTTCAGTGTTAGGATTATAAAGATGATAAGGGAGAGCTTATCCTTAAACCGCTAAAAAAAATATTAATTTATGCTCTAGGGAATGCATTTTTCCATGTTGTCTCAAGAAGGCTATGTGGACAAGAATGATATATCTAATTATCGCCTGATTTCACTGCTTCCTGTTTTTTCAAAATTCATTGAAAAGTGTATGGCCTCAAGTATGGCGTTGTTCCTTGAAGATAATTTATTGCTGAACGTCCAACAGTTCAGCTTCAGATCCGGGATGTAGCACTGCCACTGTGCTGGCTATTCCGGACCTCGTTCCATTCATCTTAGATGGATTTGAGGGCAGGGAGCATGTCGGCGTGGTATTTAGCGACTTAAATAAAGCCTTCGATCGTGTGTCTCACGAGTTGCTCATTAAAAAACTCGACTATAATAAATTTAGTGTGGGTAGTGTTGCCCTTTTGAAATCCTACACGGAAGGCAGGATACAGAGGGTGGTCGTTGACGGTGTGTGGTCGAACCCAAGACCTCTTAAAAATGGTGTTCCACAAGGCTCAGTAACAACAACTTCGACAACAGAATGTGGGAACTGGAAACTTCTGCCCTATGTTTATATCTATTACAATGTTTAAAATAATAATTGTCATTGCGTACCCATCTATTATGGTAATTTTAACTTCATGTCTTTTGAGCTAATTTTTAAGTTAATTTTATTTTATATATGTGTTTTATTTCATGTTCTGACTTATATACGCCACTCTGTATGGTATTGATATCAATAAATTATTCTATTCTATTTTTGGCTTCCTTTCAGATCACTTTACATAATACGAAGATATGAATAATCTATATATTATATATCGATATAAATATATTTCGATAGTTTTGGAGTATCACAGGTTAGTATGTGGAGATATTAATATATAAATAAAAATCTTTTTCAACCTTCATTAAAAAAATTGTTACAAATACAAGAACTGTCCTGAATTTTTTTCCATAACAAGGGGCCATCCTCTGCCGGAAATTAAAACTAAATCCTCCTCCTCTCCTGAAATTAAAACTATATTAGGTATTTACCTCAGACGGTCTATATTTACTTTGCTATAAATGTGGTAATCTTAAATCATACAGGATGGTCAAAATTCTACACCAAACTTTCTGAAATATAAAATATTTTTCTTTGTTTGTTTAAATGAAACACTTATTAGATGGAGAATAAAAAAATGAACATTTTTTGTATTTAAAGTAAATATTTCAAATTTTTTAATGGTTTCGCAGATACACGCAGTATAATTTCATATGGCTCTCTCAACGGTAAAATACCAGAGAAAAATCATTGTGTGGCCTTAATAAAAATTTATTATGGAAAATGTCATGAAATATAAAACCGCGAATATCTGCAAAACCCTTAAACATTTCTAAATACTCTAAATGCAAAAATGTTTATTTTTTAATTCTCCATCTATTGGAAAATAATATACAGGGTGTTCCATTAAAAAGATATAAGAAAAATTATTTTTTTTATTTTAGAAAGTCTGGCGTAAAATTTTAAACATCTTGAATGATTTAAGATTAAACACATTTATAGCAAAATAAGGTACGGACTATCTAAAGTAAATACCTAATATAGTTTTGATTTCAGGACAGTTCTTGTATTTTTAATATTTTTTTTTAAGAAAGGCTGAAAAATATTTATTTTTTATTAATATCTCTGAAACTATTAAAATATATTTACTCATATCTTAGGATTATGTAAAGTGATCTAAAAAGAAGCCAAAAATGCAATAATATGCAGGGTGTACATTTAAAAAAAAATATTCCAAATCCACTCACACTTTTTTGAGCCACCCTATAGAAGTTAAAAAAATTTCCTGGAATACATCCTAGAACATACTTTAGATTTGCACTTAAACAAAATTCTTTTTAAGTTTTTTATTCTAAGAGCTACAGATGCCCAACGCACTTTTGCCGGACCCTGTATAATGGCCCAAACTGCGCCCCCATAGTATTATCTCAATAAATAATAAAATAATATTACTTTTGCGGTTCTTCTCATTACATCTTTCCAAGATTTATCTACAATAACAAATAATTTGGCTTCATTTGGAAGTTGCCTTTGAATATCCGGTGCCGAAAAAATAACTTCTAAATATATCCAACTTTGCTGGCAATTCATCCATTCATCCTATAAAAATAAAAATTAAAAATTTTATATAAATTTGTGAGTGAATGTAAAAAAGTACTGCCGTTTACGCCACACAAAAAAAGTATATTTCAACACTCTCAAGGGTATCAAAATTTATAGGGCATTCTCCGCAAATTGTGGGAAGTTGCGAGATTGTCTCATAGCCCAGTCAAATTAGAAAAATCGGTGGAAAAAAATCCCACAATTTTGAAAATGGTTTTAAATGATTTCTCCAGACTTGGGCTGATATGTGTTAAAAGTTCCCAAAGATAGACGATGAGCTCGAAGAGAGGGGAGTTAAATGTCACTTTTATGACTCTTTTTATCTTATATCTTGAAAAATATGACACCTACGAAACAATACTCTTAAAGAAATTGAAGCTCAGAAAATTCTCTACAAAATTGGTTCAATACATTATTTTCATAGGTCTAACCCTTTAAAAGTTTAGTTTAGTGGACAAAATTAACACTATTTCTCATATTGTATCTTTGCATTTAAAATTCAGTTAAAGTCTAAATTTAACCTTTCATATTAATAATAGTAATATTGATGCGGACCCGTGTGGACTCGACATAACCCATACCTAACCTAACTATATGTCCCGCCCCAAGATGACCTTAATATCGCATTAAAGAACAGACACCGTAATGATTCATTCGAACGTTCGATAAAAATCGAGTTCCGCTGGAATGGAGTAGTACCGGGTGGCCAACTAAGAATTGACGCCGGCTGTATCTCAGAAACTACTTATCGTATAACTTTGGGAAAAAATTCTAATAAGTAAATCGACCAAGAGAAATCGCTGGAAATTATTTTCAAATTCGAAAAATACCCGCTAGGCGGCGTTTCTCTAATAGCCAATCAGAAATCAGGGTTTCTCTCAAAAATATGCAGGTGAACAGGTATTTTAAATATTACTATTGTAATCATCGATAAATTTGTATTTTTTTATATAAAGTATTTTGCTCTATCTCATTAAATAAAGTGGTGGGGGAAGGTTAAACTTGCTTTTATTAAAATAAGGATAACTTTGGTTTGGGTTAAGCGATTTAAACAAACTAGAGCTCGTTTAAAAGAGCTTTTCTTCCTTAATGATTTCCAGTATAAATTTTGTTTTCACAATTTTTTTCGTGGTTGCTAGAGGGCGCTGTTTGACATCATAACAGATATTGCGTTTTTGCGTAAAGAAATTAAATAGGAGGCTATATTTCTCTTTGCACAGTTAAATAGAGCACAACATTTTCAAAATATCAGCGCAAACCGTAACTTTCTATCTGATCTCTAACTGAAGATATTAAGAGAACAAATCATGTTATTCTGCCGCTTAGGATTATATGGTCTAAAAATTATAGTAGTAGGCTAGGAAACAAAAAGAGGTAAATTAGTTACGTCAAAATATCAAAACGTTTAAGTTCAGTTTTCATGCATCCGAATTTCGGGCGTTTTTTTTTTAAAAATGACGTTATATTTATTTAAAAGTGTTTATGTAACATTATCATCCATCCATATAATTTTTACGAATTTTTTGGTTAATTATACGTACTTAGTTAGGTTCAGATTAAAATGTCCGAAAGTCGGAGAATCAATTATTTTATTAAAATTTCTAGGAATTTTAGCCGCCATATTGTTTTTAACAGAAAAAACCGCCAAATTTCGTATGGTCGAAAACTAGGGCTTTATTCCTTTATTTTAGTTATTAATCCAAGTTCGTCCTTGATTTCATTTGTTTTCGTGTTTTACATGTTGTTTGTGTTATTTATTATTATATTATAAAGTTTATGTCGTTTGAGTCACTTTTCATATGGCACCGAACGAAGGTGCGAATCTTAACAATATGCACTACTGCTCCAAATCTGCCCTTGATGCAAGTAGTTTAGCACCAAGACCGTTGGTCGTTAAATGTTTACGCAGGAATTCTAGGATGACGAATGATTGGACTTTTTTAATTATCTGAATGAAATCAACTATCCATAATTTTTAAGAAATGATTTGCCTATTTTGTTAGGGGATCCATCATGATGAAATTGCATTTGTTGCAATTTCATCAGCATGAATGTCGTCGGTGTAGTTGAGGCAGTGGTGCCGCTTATTTTGCTATGAATGTGTGGGACTTCTTGGATACCACTTACTTTAGTAGAGAGAGATGCTGGAGCGGCATATTTCCATGGCCAGTTCGGTCATCGGATACAATATGCCTCGGTTTTAATTTATGGGGTCGAATCAAAACCGAAACATGGATAGATAATAATTAAACGGTATTAAAATGAAATTAAAATATATTTTTTTGGTATTTTGACGTAACCAATTTACCTCTTTTTGTTTCCTAGCCTACTACTATAATTTTTAGAGTATATAATCCTAAGCGGCAGCCTAACATGTTTTGTTCTCTTAATATCTCCGGTTAGAGAGAAGATAGAAAGTTGAGGTTTGCGCTGATATTTAGGAAATTTTGTGCTCTATTTAACTGTGTAAAGAGAAATATAGCCTCCTATTTAATTTTTTTATGCAAAAGCGCAATATCTGTTATGATGTTAAACAGCGCCCTCTAGCTACCACGAAAAAAATTGTGAAAACAAAATTTATACTGGAGATCATTAAGGAACAAAAGCTCTTTTAAACGAGCCCTAGTTTGTTTAAATCGCATAACCCAAATCAGAGTTATCCTTACTTTAATAAAAGCACCTTCCCCCACCATTTTATTTTATGAGATAGAGCAAAATATTTTATATTAAAAAAATTACAAATTTCTCGGTGATTCAATAGTAATATTTAAAATACCTGTTCACCTGCATATTTTTGAGAAAAACCCTGTTTTCTGATTGGATATTAGAGAAACGCCCCCTAGCGGGCATTTTTCGAACTTAAAAATAATCTCCAGCGATTTCTCTTAGTCAATTTACTTAGAATTTTTTTCCCAAAGTTATATGATAAGTAGTTTCTGAGATACAGCCGGCGTCCATTCTTAGTTGGCCACCCGGTACATACGAGAACATTCAAAACCTTCTCTATGCACCTAATGATCTATGGATTATTCGAGAACTCTTTAGCTGTGGGATAAAATCCGACGGCTAGGACCTGAGGAGGACAGAAATAAATAGATGAGTACAGTCGTCGCGCTAAATTCAAAATATATTCTTTCTAGATAAATAATTATAAATAGTTTGTATATCTTTAAGTCTTTTAATCGTTATTGTTTGTTACTTAGTGTAGAATAAATTGTGTTTAAATAAATTGTGACTTTCTATCCACACGAAACCGAGGAAAAACGTAACAATTAGTGTCAAGTGTGGCGTGTGTGTAGACTAGAAAAATAAAAAGCTGACAATGGCTCCGAAAAATGATTGAAAGATTTGAAAGTGTCGGAATCAAAATGCATACTGGAAGAGAAGGAATGCGAGATAGATGGAAACAAAAGCATTTTGCAAGCCAGACTGAGAGACGTTTTGATTGAGGAAGGTGATGATCCTAACACATTTTGCTTTGAGTTGGAAGGTGACCTTGACTCGTCCTTACAAAAATTAGACAACTTGAACAATTTGAATAGTAAAATAATTGATTTGGAAGTTAATTTGGAAGAGAAAATCAGTGATAAAATTATGGAAATTTTCCAGGATTTAATCAATACATTAGAAGATAAGATCATCGAAAATTCTAAAGATATACAGGCCAGCTTTAATAATAAAATACTCAATTTGGAAGAAAGTATAAACATTAAGATAACAGATATTATAGAGAATTCTACGGAACTACAAGACAAAATAACACATATTGAGGATGATGTAAATAGAAAAATCGAAGTTTTGAAAGAAGAAATACCGAAGGCGAATTCACCAAAACGTCAAGAAGTATCGGAGGACTCGAAACTAGTCGAAATTAAGTATACCTCAAAGTCGGTTATGAAGCCTCCACAGTTTGACGGAAAAACCGCTTGAGCCAATTATTTTTGCCAATTTGAGGTCACTGCGAGAACGAACGGCTGGACAATCGCTGAAAAAGCTACCGCTTTGACTATCGCACTGCGGGAAGATGCGACTGACATTCTGCAGACACTCTCACCATCGGAACAAGGAGATTATCAGCAATTGGTACGACGTTTAGTACGACGTTTAGTACGACGTTTAGAAATCGACGTTTTGAAACTATCATCAGGCCAGATATTCTTAAAATATCGAAGAAGGTTAAAACAACTCAATGGCGACTACGTACTGCTACGGGAAGCTCCGCTGCTGTCCATGGGGAAGTAAACCTTAATTTTGTTATCGGGAGCACCAGTTTTGAACATCCAAAGTTAGTAGCAGATCTCCAAAATGAACTTATTCTCGGAATAGACATCATGACCACTAGAGGTTTTGAACTAAACTTCAAAAAAGGAATTTTAAAAATAAATGAAGAAGTGGTTCTACATCGAAAATATGAGAGGACGCTTTGCGTGGTAGTAGCGAAGATGTTTCGATCCCTGAGCGCTGTGAGATATTTTTGGATGGTTGCCTGGAAGGTAAACTGAATAATGGGAGTATTATTCTGTTAGAGCCAAGGAATCATGACAGCGATATAAGACAAGGAGTCGCTGTAGGAATGGCCCTGCTACGAGCGAAGAAGACTGTACCGGTAAGGGTAATGAACACTAATTATTATTTGGCGTTCTTGAAGAAAGAAACCCTGTTAAGGTACTGTTGCTCGGTCTCCTCAGTTATTCAAAGCATGGAAGCCTCGAAAGTTTCGGCTTCGAAAATGCCGGACAAAATGGCGAAGGCGCTAGAAAATGTTAACGCATTATCTTTCCAGGATAGTAGAAAATTGAGAAACCTAATTATCAGGATGTGTTTGATAAAGGAGAAGCAGGACATAGAGGTCGTACCAATTTAGTATAACATAAAATTGACACCGGAGATGCACGACCAATCAAACAAAATCCGAGAAGACTTCCGCTCGCCAAACGTGAAGAAGTTGACAAAATCCTCCGAGAAAGGAAAGAAGAGAGTGTCGTCGAAACAGCCCG